AAAAAAAATACATTTAATAATTAAAATAAATATTCTTAATGGTGGATCGCATTTAGATTAAATAATTAACTCAAAATTAAAATACACATGTATTCCCCGCATGTTTCTGAATAGACTGTGAATGTATTTAAAATTGATACAGCTTCTATGTCGACATTCCTATTTTATCTGTAGAGATCTCTTATCATGAAAGCACTATATTTCAAATTTATTTTTACAATAATTACATTTTGAATCATCTATTGGTACTTCGCAAGTACCATACAACATTGCAACATATCAAATTTGAGGCTAAGTACCGGTAGAGGGCAATAGTGTTGCATGAAAGGGGCTTAGAGAGCTCTAGCAAAATCACCTCTGATGGAGAAAAATACAAGCATATTATGTACTACATGAATATTAAAGAAGGAAAAAGACTTCTGCAGAGACTATAATTTGCTCCTATTGAAATGCATTCCTCCTAATTTAAAGCATATTTACATGCTGACCCAAATCCAGCAACCCTCATTCTAGTTTGTATTTCGTTAAAGAAGATCACAAACTTAAGTTTATTAGCTGCAGTTTAACACTTATTATTTTCTAAATTAGAACTAATTACATTCCCTAAAGTAGAAAATTAGATCAACAAGCCATTTCACTCTGTGCTAGCAAAATGTCAATAGGATAATATTAAGTACATGCATTTTTATTCAAATGTAAATTGACAGCACATTTTTTCCCCAATCTTTGAATATTTACAGAGAAGACCACGTGGCTGTTTAACATGCCTCTGCAGACTAAATTAAACTCAACAATATGAATATAAATCAAGTCTGGAGAGCGTAAGTTAATTGACAAGGAAGTTTTTTCTTTGTAAAACTCTCCAGGAAAACAGGAACAAACAAGCTTCAGGGGTTTGACTTGGACTAGTGCTAAACTTGGTCCCAAAGACTAAATGCTCATTAGTGGCCAAAACTCTCCCAGTGTGCTCTTGGATCACATCTTCTGGCTTAGTTTCACTTGTAGAGGATCCATACTGCCCTGTACTGGGAAATCAAATGCAGTTAGTGGGACAACTGGGAGGTTGACTCTGGAACTGCAAGTGTACCTGGAAGCAGGTCAAGCTCTATCTTGACTAAAACCTACTAAGGGGCACTGGGATGTGTCTGAGAAGCTTTAATTTGCTTTCAGATCTAAGATGGTCAGGGAACGACACCAAGAATCTCCCCACTTTGAATATCTGTAATGACATGTTTTACCCATCTTAAGAGAAGATGTTGAGAAACGTGGTCTTCCCAATCTGCATGTAAGAATATTTTGTTGTCTCCAACCTGCAGCTCAGATAACCTGATAGTTTCTCACAGATAAGGAAGTAATGAAGGCAGAACCTTTGCTGACAGGAAATCTAATCCAACACATGCTTCTACCTGCTCCTTATATTGTATAGTTTTTCTACATCAACAAACAATACAGCTAAAAGGGCTACCTGAGGTATGGCAAAACCTACATCAATAAGGTAAATATAGGTAAAATTACCTGATTGACGTGATCTAGTTTTGGACAGGGTCTTCCACCGTTGTAGGGTTTTTCACGGAGCCATTTAGACCGAACCTTTACCCCACTTCCACAGGATTTACTACAGCGAGACCAGTTGGACCATTCACTGAGTTTGCAGTCTGAGGGACATGGAATAATACAGGCTTCCTCAATATAACCTGCAGGAATGGAAAAAAAAAATGTGAAATCTCTTCAGCATGTCACTCTGCCACTTCTCCCTGAAACCCTCGTCTGCTTCGTTTAGATTGTCCAAAGTTTGACTTGACAGGACTGCGTGAATAGAGAGATTTCTTCATCATTAGGGCTAAATTAAATTCTGCAGAAAATTGACACATAGAGCTGGAGACTCAGTAGCAGCTGAGCGTCCTCACTGCAGTCTGATTAGGATTCACACTCACCAGATTTCAACACTCAAACTTTCTGACAGCTACAGAGTAATTGACACTCTTGGTCGCATCCTTCTTAACACTGTAAAAACAATATTTATTTCTCTTAAGGAAAAAAAATAGGTTTTATGAAAAGCTCCTCCAGTAATTCTATCAAGTAATTCAGTTGCAGTTATACATGAAAAAAATCTAACTGAATCAAAAGATCTTACCAGCCTAGAGCAAGGGAACTTAACACCTTCTGACCTTTCTAAGGCTTGAAAGAGAGAGTGGTCTGCCACATTAATGATCTGCCGATTAAGAGCCATCTGCCCCTAGTAGCACACTGAATAATTGCACTGAATGGAAAAGCAGATGTTTGGTTTGGATAAGTCATCGGTCCTGAAAGCTTGGAAAAGGGTAGGAAATGGTCTGCAGGGAGTAACACGAGGCCTCAATTCACTGAGTAAGTGAAAATGTCTTTCTTTCAAAAGCAACATATGCCATAGCTCTACAATATGTGTCACTCATGCCAATATTTATAGCAGAAGCTCTAAAACTCCAAATCAAAAGCTGGTCTTTGCTGCATTTTTACTACAACTATACCCTAAACTTATATGGACTCTCCTCTCCTCTTTCCTGTGTCAGATCTGTAATCTATTTATGGTTGGCAAATGTTCCCTTTAAAGACTAAAGGAACCTCAGCGCATTTAAAAGCGAACGAAAATATTTGATGAACACAGTTGCTAAATTAACACACACTGGGGTAAGATCATTCTCAAGTGACTGGCACAGTTTGCCAGGCATGGTTTCAAATGTTTCTCACATATCTTGATAATTTTTTTAGTTTGAAAGAAATCACTCATTTTCGTCAGAGCTGATGTTAGCAGCTTTATGCTTCTAGTCTATATTTCTAAGTAATGCTATTCTGTCACTTCTAAAAGGAATACCAAACAATCACAAGCTGTGGAAAGATTCAAAACACTTAAGATTTTAATTTTATATGCCTATTTCTAGTTGCTTCCATTTATTTCTTTTAGAACTGAAGGTTGTTTGGGATTTTTTTTTTAAACATACAATAACATTGAAAATATTTTATGTTCAAATTCAGGTGATGCTTTTATCCTCTATAGCTTTCCTCTGTTTGGAAGTGTTAAATAATTAAATAAATATACAGAGCACATCCTGAATTTGAGCACTGCAAAACTACTGTTCACCAAAGGTATCTTCCTTAAAATGGCTAGAATATTATTAGCTTGAATTACAAGCACGTTTATTAATCACACCTTGCCATTCGATTGATCAGTGATATTGTAAGTAAGATACACTGTGTTAGACAAAATGTATTTTTGAAGATCGTACCACTGCATATCACAGGTGGTGACACAGATTGCCCTGCAGTAGTAAATGCAAAACTCATTACTTTTCACCTTAACTATAGCGCTATAGCATGAGAATGCTTCATAGCTTATCAAAAGAAGTCTTGTGGAACATACTAAACTAAAATGATTGACCAATTAGAAATTACTTTGCTTTATTTCCCTTCAGCTCATCCAAATAAGGACAATAATTTATTTTATTTTTTTTTGAGATAATGAGAATGGTAGTCAAAACGTTTAACAAGATTTTCAGAATCTTGCTGAGTGAAAGTGTATCAAACACATCACACTATTAGCAAGTCCCAGGTAACAGTTTAATTACACTGAACTACATGTCAAGCGATTCCATAAAACATCAAATGAAACCATAACATACAGCAACCTTTTTCACACTATCCATGAAATATCTACATAGAAGACAGGCACTGAAACCGCTTTAGTGTAGAACCCAATAAAACCAGAACAGCATCAGGTAACAGTAAGAGTTCTAACATGGAAGGGAGGCTGCACCTTGAGTGTTGTGTTCAGTTTTGGTCACCTCAGTATTAGAGAGATATCGAGGTGTTGGAGCGAGTGCAGAGGAGGGCAACAAAGCTGGTGAAGGGCCTGGAGAACAGACCTTGTGAGGAGCGATTGAGGGAGCTGGGTCTGTTGAGTTTGACGAAGAGGAGGCTGAGGGGGGATCTCATCATGCTCTACAATTACTTGAAAGGACATTGTAGAGAGGTTGGTGCTGGTCTCTTCTCACAGGGAATTAGGGACAGAACCAGGGGGAATGGTTGCAAGTTGCAACAGGGCAGGTTTAGGCTGGACAGTAGGAAGAAATTCTTCACAGAAAGAGTGGTCAGACACTGGAACAGGCTGCCTAGGGAGGGGGTTGAGTCGCCATCCCTGGATGTGTTCAAGTGTCGCTTAGACGTGGTGTTGGGTGATATGGTTTAGGGGTGAACTTGTAGTGTAGGATCAATGGTTGGACTTGATGATCCCAAGGGTCTTTTCCAACCTGAATTGTTCTATGATTCTATGAAGCTTGCTTATATATTAATGATTTTGGAGAGGATGCAGTGGGCCAGCTTTATAATGAAAAAATACTGAACTGCAATCTTACACTGGCTCCTTAAGCCGGTAAGTTTAATGGAAGAGCTTCTACTCGCCATATAGCTCTTTCCTATGCCATCTCTAGGATATTTGGCCTATAATTCTCTCCTCTCCCTCCTTCCTACTTTCTCAGAAAAGTTGGCATGAAGACTCAAACTCTGCATGTGAAAGTTAACCAGCTGAACAAGAAGAAGGAAAAGACACGTGAAGAGGAGAAGAGGAATGGAATCAACCTTTGAAAGCATAAAAAGAAGCTCTACAAGGTAGGAAGGCTTGGAGCTACTAAAAATGTGGAACAATTTTGAAGAGCTGAGAGAAAAACACCAATTATTATGTGAGACGCAAGACAAGCGTAAAAAGCTCCTAACCACAGGTATCCTAAGAACAGTGGATAAAAAAATAGGTCAAGGATGTGAACAGAATAAAGGGATCCAGAAAGGAGTTTCACAGCTTCTGAACCTTCTCAAGTAGACAGAAAAGAAAATAAATAGGTTAACTTTCATGGCAGAGAGTCAGAAGTCAAAACAACAGAGGTGTCACAAGACAAAAGAGACTGAGGGGAAACAGAGAAAGGGGTAAGAAAAGACAGGGAGAGGGAAGTGGAAAATAAATGGCTCGGAACATAGAGTCAAGAGAATTGTAAAGGCACACTGCATATGGATGAAAAACAAAGGAGGAGGAGAAAAGAAACAAACATCCTGCTAAGAGTAATATCTTGGTGAAGCACAAACAGAACGCGATGCCTTCAAGAGCCTACTCTGGTATCTCCTGATCAGGCAGTGAAATGCACTGAATGTTCCCACAAAAAAAAAAGAAAAAGGAAGAAATAAAAAAGACTGTGGCCTCTAATTTGAATTCTATAGGTAATTAGTGTGTAGAATGAGAATGACCCAGTTATATCTGACATGAAAAAAGTTTTTGGCATATTCATCCCTTAGCATCTTCTTTTTCTCTCAGGCACCTCACTATTTTGCTGAACGGATTATTTAGCATTTGGCTGTGCCGCTGGACTCCCTTAGAACCCAGGCAGAAGTAGAATTCAAATTGCTTGGAGATATTTAGCTAGAAAAGAAGGCTGAATTTTTTTTAAAAAATAAATAAATTACTTGTTGCAAATGACTTGTTCCATTCCATTTTGTATTCAGAAAAAGCTACTCTGAAGCATGTCATCACCTCAGATGCCTTTCCGTGTGTCTGAAGTCAAATCTTTTAGGTTGATTAAGGATGATAATCTCCAGAAGTTCACAGCAATCGCCTCTCAAATCTAAGAAAGCATATGTTCAGGAATTCAGAAAGTTTATACTTTTTTAGGGGCTTGTTTTTGCTAAATTTCAGGTGCTTGTATTTAAAATCTTCGTCAATGATGTAAAATTTTTTAGCAAGTGCAAAGGGAGCATATTGCGATATAGAAAAAATACATATAAAACACAGAAACCAGAAATAGCACGTGCAGTTGGGATTGGTGATGCAGATGCATAGTTTCTGACATGAGAAAGACATGAATGAGACATTTTTCCAGACAAGTCTTGTCTCCACTCTGATCTAATCATCCTCGAAAGGATGCCCCTATCCATCAGACAGCATAAAAATCTTATAAAAGAAACAGTCTGCTGGTGTGTGGGTGTATCTATGGTGGAATTTCACACGATTATATCCCACAGACAAGTTGAGTAACATAATTGCAGTAAATGTCACGTTGCAGCCTCGAGGTTTAAAGAACAAGCAAGAAATTACCAAGGAAGAAATACAATAAATGCAGAGGGAAGGAAAGAATGAAAGCGGTGAAACAGCTACAAGGAAGAGCTGAGGAAAAAAGTGTGAAGGTGAAACAAGACCAACACTGGAAAGGCTGAAGTTACAGTCTCTGGACATCAGCAGTCCACGTTTTACCTGTTGTTTCTCCACCTGATTAAAGCCTTTCACTGCACGCTTCCCGCAGCCCATAATATCTGAGGGATGTTGTAGAGACAAGAGCTGTGAAATGGGCAGTTGTCTGCTACGAGCAAGGACATGGCTACTCTGTCGTTACAGATTTATTACTGAACCGCAATTTGACAAACGGCTTTAAACCACTACGAGTATGAGCTGAGCTCATTATTGAAAGGGAAAGGTTTACTGTCCCGTCGCTAATTGGCTATAAAATCTGGACTCCTAGAACAAAGTCATTAATAGCCGTGATGGATAATTATAACAGAGCACTTGAACGGACTTCACACTTTCTCTAATGACAAAGCAGTTTTAGTAGGTGGATACAAGACTTTTCCCCACAAACTGCACCCGCAATGTGTTAAGAACAGAGTAACTACTTGAGTTGAG